CAAATGCCATAATTTCACTCTTCTTTAAAATTGAATAATATTCCATTGAGTAGATATACCACATTTTGTTTATTCATTCATTTATTGAGAGACACCTAGGCTGGTTCCATAGTTTAGCTATTGTGAATTGAGCTGCTATAAACATTGACGTGGCTGCATTACTATAGTATGCTGATTTTAAGTCCTTTGGGTATAAAACAAGGAGTGGGATAGCTGGGTCAAAGAGTGGTTCCATTCCCAGTTTTCAGAGGAATCTCCATCCTGCTTTCCATAGTGGTTGCACCAATTTGCAGGCCCACCAGCACTGTGTGAGTGTGCCTTTTTCACCACACCCTCACCAACAATTTATTGTTGCCTATATTCTTGATGATTGCCATTCTGACAGGAGTGAGATGAAATCTTAGAATAGTTTTTATTTGCATTTCTCTAATTGCTAGAGGTTGAACACTTTTTAGAACACTTTTAGAATGCTATAGAATAGAGGACACAGAGACAAACTCACATCAATATGGTTATCTCATACTAGACAAGAGTACCAAAAACATTCACTGGAGAAAAGATAGCTAATGTGAATTGAGATGCTATAATGGTGCTGGAAAAACTGGAAATCCATAGGTTGCAAAATGAAATTAAACCTCTGTCTCTAAGCCCGTATAAAAATCAACTCAAAGCAGATGAAAGACTTAGGCAATAGAATAGAGACCCTATGCCTAATAGAAGAAAAAGTAGGCCCAAATCTTCACCACGTCTTTTTAAAAAAATATTTATTTTTATCTGGACACAATACCTTTATTTCACTTATTTATTTTTATGTGGTGCTGAGGATCGAACCCAGGGTCTCGCATGTGCGAGACGAGTGCTCTCCCACTGAGCCCCAGCCCCAGCCCTCACCACGTTTTTTATTGTTGCTGTTTTTGCAGGGTGTTCCTTTCTGCAGCCTAAGTGTGTTGCATTGCTCTGTGATTTATTGTGCATGTCCTGTGGGGTGGGCAGGGAGAAGAAATTATGCTCTCAATCTTTTATCAAGGTTATCTAGGCACAGAGAGCAAGTTGCATCAAGTGCTTGGGCAGCCACATTTTGGAACTCCATCCTGAACTTCTTGTGGGGTCCACTTTATGAGTCAGAAGACAAATCTTGGAGGCCACAGTGGAGACTTGTGTCTATCTGATCAGAGGACAAGGTAGGTTCAGAGTTTAGAATTAAGGAAGGAGGTTCCTTATGGGGTGGATGAAGGTGTATGTACTTTCTTTAAAATTTTTTTTTTTAGTTATAGATGGACACAATATTTTTTATGTTTATTTATCTTTATGTGGTGCTGAGGATCGAACCCAGTGCCACACGTGCACCAGGCAAGTGTTCTACCACTGAGCTACAACCCCAGCCCTGTTTTTTCTTTTTGAAAATAAAAAAAACATGAAATTTCTGTCTCATTGCCATGATTTTTTGAAGTTGTTGAAAAGAATTCAAACAAAACCCAAACCTTGAAAAAATGTGAAAATCTCCGCATTATTTTCTCTACCCTCTCTCATTTCTACAAAGGGAGTATACTTTGCATTTTGATAAAGAGATTTAAAGAAACAGGATTCTGTAACTTATTCTCAACCATGTATCACAAAGATCTGCTTCATCGTTTTTACCACCTGCATAATAAGCATAACTCTTTCAGCATTTCTTTCTTTCTTTCTTTTTTTTTGGTATTTGGGATTGAATTTAGGGGTGCTTGACCACTGAGCCACATTCCCAGCCCTATTTTGTATTTTATTTAGAGACAGGG